GGCTGGGCCGCGTCGCGACCGAAGAGTCGCCGTGGCCATGGGTCACTCCTGGTTTGGTAGAGGCCAGGCCACCGCTCGGTTGGCTCCTCGGACTAGACCGCAGCAAGATGTGCTATCTCAGTAATTCCTGTTCATGCGGGGTGAGGTAGCTGGGCGCTGCCTTGGAGATCTGGTGGAAGATGAGCTCCAGGTGGCGGACATCAGGGCGCGCGGTGCCGTTTCTTCGGATGCCGACACGCGCCCAGACGACTACACTCACGAAGATGCGACGCTGTCCGCAGTTGACGAGGGATCCCACGAGCATTCCTCCAGCGACCAATAATTGATCGACGCCGCGGGGTGGGCCTCTTTGACGCACGACCAACAGACAATCATGCAGGTTGTGTTGTTAGCGCTTTCAGTTACGTTTGACGAAATTGGAGACCGAATCTCAACCGACCCCCCCATATCCACCGCCGCGTGCCATTTCCACATATGTCCTTGCGCATCGCCACCGCCTCACGGCGGATGCTAAACCTCTCTCCGCAGCAGAGGCCGTCGAGGTCGACGAGACTGGAAATGCCCGCGTGGAAACGTGGGCCCCGGATGAAATGCGCAAACTTGTTCTCGGCCATCCTGTCCCAGACGGACAGCGCGCGCTTCCGGGTCTACGCGGCAGAACCAAAAAATGTCGTCGCCCAGCGCGACGCCGACCTATTCGCCCCAGAAGAGTTCCAGGAGCACGCAGCGGCCGTCGTAGCCGCGGTGATCGAGCAGCTGCAAGCACGGGTGGATCACCATTGCTTCTCACGGCGCCCGCGCCGAGGAGCGCGCAGCATCCCTGATTGCAGGGGGGCGCGCAAGTGAAAGTTGACGCGGAGCAAAACAGACCCTGCACAGATAGCGCGGATCATCCGCCTCAGGCTGACACCCCGAGGCTTCAGGGACGTCGACGCTGATTCGTCGCCGCATACGCCAGCACCTCATCCAGACTGCCACAGCAAGTGATTCTCTCAGAGGCAGCCTGCCGAGGACGGGAGATCGACGCGCGGGGCGTCAAGGACGCCTCCCTGAGAGGAGTCAGCTGCCAGGGACTTGCGGAAGCCGCGGGTGAGGAGGGGTGCGATGTCAATTCCGAGGTATCCCCCGACGCTGTCGTGGCCCCGCGAAAGACAAGGCGATGTGAAACTCTCGACCTTGCACGAGCGCTCCTCCGCGTGGAGAAACCAGGCAGCGGTGCAAAGATGCACCGGAGTGCTGGCCTATCCCACTCACCAAGATTACAAACCAAATCTTCCAAGCCATCCCCGCACTGTATGACGGAGAGTTTATTTGCAAACATAAAATTGACGAGTCCGTCCCGCTCGCCACAAAGCACGCCAAGCGGATCAATGTGTAGCAGGACTGCCTCGTGAGAAGGTCAAGTTGCGTAAGTGTTTAGGGTGTCTATGATAAGGGTGAGCTGGACGCTAGTGAAAGGACCTTCACGCTCTGCGTGACGCAACGCTCACCCACGCACAACGGCAGGTATGAGCTGGACCAGATCAAGTACATCCAGGCTGTGAAGCACAATTCTGGGCCCGTCTCCGATGGTCTGGCCATGCGGCGCCCCGATCGGCCCATGGCCTTGGCCATCGCCCTCTTCGCGCGGATTGACCTGCGCGTCTACGCGGCAGCGCTCCAGCGCCGCTCCGACGCGCGGCCGCATGCGCGAGCTCAATGCTCCGGTGAGGTGGGCTCAGGCCATTCCACTGAGAATCCACTATCCACCGATGAGCTGCGCAGGCAGATTGGAGGTGCGCAGTGGCGCACCGCCCAGAGAGAAAATATGAGTAAACAAACAGCGAAGAAGGGGTCGGCGCAAGTCCTTCGCGTGGGCGCCGCAGACGCTGGCACCCAACGGGCGCTCGTTAGTCGACGAGCGCGCCGCCGCCAGGATTGGCGGCGTGAGGCTCGCAAGTCGGCGGCGCGAAGCGCTTGTCGCAAGTGAGTTGGCGGTCGCGACCAAATCGACGGAGCGCGGCCTCGCCCTGGCCGCCACGCTCCGCGAGGTGCTCGAGGCCCCGAGGGGGCGCGTCGCAGGCGAGACGGCCAAAATTGAGATCCGCCTGCCCCCCGCGGGCGCGACCGCAGCCGTCGCGGCGGCCAGATTAGAGCCCCTGGCAGAGCATTTCGCCGCTGCCGCGCATGATTGAGGAGAGGAAAAAACACACAGACACAATTAATCGTCGATTTCCCAGAAAATATGGGAAAATATGGGAAGTGGGGGGGAAGACAAAAACCCTGAAAATATATGAAAATATGGGGCATATTTTTATTTGTGTGTATTTATTTGTGTGTCCTGGGGCCCCTTTAATGATCTGGATCCGCGACCTCCTGCGCCGAGGCCAACCCCGCCAGCTGCGCCTCCGCGGGCGCCGCCTGCCCGGAGCGCCGCCCGCGGCGCGAGTCGGCGAGTCGGCGAAGCGGCCGCCGCGCGGCGAGGCGGACGCAGATGTGCACGCCTTTCTCATGGGCCAGCGCGCGCGGCACCGCCCCAGATTCGGCGGCGCAGAAGTCAGAGGCCAGCAACATATGTACACGTACGCGGTTAGCTTCCCCTGGAGTGCGTGTCAACGCGGACGTTCGTGCAGGCAAGACCGCGGAGGGCGTACATGTACATATGTCGTTGCTCGCCCAAGAAGTGGCCGTTCAGTGGCGCTGCGACGGGGCCGATGGTGCGCGCTGCCTTCGCTCGCGAGCCTCGCCGGGCAGCGCGGGGGTGACCGGCGCGAGGCTGACCTCTTACAGGCGTTCCACCTCGGCGAGGGAGGTGATGGTCAGTGCAAGGTTGTTTCAGGCATGGTCGTCGCGGTCGCCCTGGGAACAGTTCGAGCGCCGCAGGTGCTGGCGCGCGGTCGGCCATGGCAGTGGGCCAGACCGCGGCCGGGATCCGCTCCATCCCGCGGGCGGGGTTGCTGAGGGGCTGCCCGCCAGCAAGAGCGGCCATCGCAAGCCCGCCCCGAGGCCGCCGCGCCCCCCGTCGCCGCGGGTCGAGCGCGCGCCGATCGCGCCCCTGGGCCACTCCCCGCCAAGGTCTCCGTCGCAGCAGCGGGGCCAGGAGATGGCGCACCGCGGCGCGGCGACGCAGCCCGCGCCTCGAGATGGCGCCCCTGCCACTTCCGTTCTGGCAGCGCCCCGGCAGTCGGGCGCCGAGCGGCTCGCGCGGGCGCGCAGCAGCGGCGGCAGGCGCGACGGGCAAAAGCAAGGGCAAAAACAACGACAGGGACCAGAGCAAACCCGATGGCGACTGGGAGGAATTATCTACAAGGAGAAGGAATGGAGGAGGAGGAGGAAGAGGAGGAGGAGGAGGAGGAGGAGGAGGAGGAAGAGGAGGAGGAGGGGGAGGACGGCGCTTAAGAGGCTGGAGGTGGAGGAGGAGGATGCAGGACGGCGGTAGGACACGGAAGGAGGCCCAAGAGGAAGAAGGTGCGTCGCGGGGGCGAGAAATGCCAAGCGTCGGCGAGCGGCCGCCGCCGCGGCGCGCGCGGCGGCCGGCGGCGACGACCACAAGTCTGCGCCAGGCATTTCAGGAGGGAAAGAAACACACAGACACAATTAATCCTCGATTCCCCAGAAAATATGGGAAAATATGGGAAGTGGGGGGGAAGACAGAAACCCAGAAAATATAGGAAAATATGGGGGATATTTTTATTTGTGTGTATTTGTTTGTGTGTCCCAGTTCCCCTTCAAGGATGCAGCGAGGCCGCAGCGGCTCTCAGCCTCAGGACAGCGACTGGGGTGGTGCGCCCAACGCGATCGTGCAAGAAGAAGTGGCGCATCCCTCATGCCCATCCTCCTCCCCTCACCTTTCTCCATCCTGCCCAGCCGAGGCGTCGTCGCACCTCGATCTCGCCCCCGCGTGGCCCTGGGCCAGCCACCGTGCCTGATCCTCACGGCAGGCTTTCATTTTTCGTCTGTGTCCCAGAGGCCACCAAGCAGACGCAGAAGCGGCCCAGCCGAACACGTGCCATTTTTTCGCGAGAGCTCCTCCACAGTGAGCTCCCCAACAGTCTGCGAGCCCGCGCCACGCTGTGCCGCGCGCAGCCAGGGCAGATAGCGACGGGGTATCTCTTGCTGAGTTTAGAATGCGCCTTGGGCTGGACAGTTTTCGGTTCCCTTTTCTCCATTCATGCGCCTCCGCCAGAACTGTTCGATTAACCGCGCAATCCCGAGTCAAATGAGATGATCTGCCGCCGTTTGGCTTATGCGCCGGCGCGTGCTACATGAAAAGCCTGCGTGCTACATCAGATTGCCGCAATGCGTTCTCTCGTTGAGCTTTGAACCCCCAGAATTCGAGTTTCTCCTCTTCCTCCTTCACCGTTGTCATTGATGAACGACCCCTCCCTGTCACAATCCCGCGCGCGTCGGTCGGACGTGCTGGGTGTTTCGCTTGCGATTTCCTCACCACTTATGGTTCTGAAATTCGAAGCTTTCAACAGCGACACGGACGGACGAGGGGGGCGAGAGGAGGAGGAGGAGGAGGAGGAGGAGGGGGAGGAGGAGGAGGAGGAGGAGGAGGAGGAGGAGGAGGAGGAGGAGGAGGAGGAAGGAGGTCTGGGGGTCTGCTGCGGCCGGGGGCCCGGGACCCCGCCCCCCGATATCAGGGGAAGAAAACCACCCCGACCCCCAGGAACAACCTTGGGCGTTTACGAAGCATCAGAGCCCCGAATCATCAGGGATAACTCGGGTCAGGGATAACTCGGGTTCGTTTTTCGGGAATCCAAACCCGAGTTACCCCGGACCCGAGTTACCCCGGATAACTCGGGCGTCCAGAGCCCCGAATCATCAGGGATAACTCGGGTCAGGGCTAACTCGGGTTCCTTTTCCGGGAATCCAAACCCGAGTTACCCCGGACCCGAGTTACCCCGGATAACTCGAGCGTTTACGAAGCAGCCCTGCCCTGCCCGTCTCCGTTTACGAAACAGCCTCGTTCGTCGGGGCGTTCATTCTGAAGGTGGTCATTTTGCCCCCTACGGGAGGACGAGTGGTTCACGGAGGAGGACCGCGAGGGCCTGATCGCCGCGCACTTGGAGGAACGTCGCCCAGCGCAGCCACCCCGCCTTCGCCGTCGTCTCGTGCGCCAGGCTGGCTCTGGCTGCAACGCCGAAGATGGGCGGCTTAATGATGGGGCCTCTTATCGAGGAAGAAGCAACGGCATCAGTTTAGAAAAACTGTCGACGGTCCGCCTGGTTTTTGTTGGATGTGAGGTGGAGCCTTTTGGCCTCCAGCGCCGCCCCTTGCGCGTTCCGCGCGCCATAGAAGGGGGCCCAACGCTCATCCAAGAAATTTGCGCAGACCTTCGATAGTTAATGTTTATGGATTTGTTCGTCTTCTACTGAGGGCTGGGAAAGGATCTCAAGCTGAGCCGTCGCCGTTGGAGGGCCCTCGTTCTTAGAGCCCCATCCCTCAAACCCCCGTCTTTGAACCGCCGATGTTCAGGAGAAGAAACAACACACAGGCACAAATCATCGTCGATTCCCCGGAAAATGCCGGAGAATATGGGAAGTGGATGGGGAAGACGAGAATCCAGAACATGTGGAGAAATGCGGAGAATCTTGGGACATGTGTCTATTTACTTGCGCGCCGCCTAGAGGGGGGCGGAGAGATCCGCGCGCCGCGCCGCCAGGGCCGGCGAAGCGCCATTCTCCCAGGGCGACAGCGCGAGGGCGCGAAGCCGCGCACCGCGGGGCGCGGGCATTGCACTGCTCGTCGAGGCGGCGCCCCGTCTCGTGGTCGCCTTTGTGGGCCTCCAGCGCCTTCGCCTTTTTGGGCCTCCTATGAGGCCCCCGTCGCCACCGCTCGCTTCGCCTCGAAATGCTGGTCCCTGAGACCATGAGGGTGCGAAAGTGTTTATTTACGGTTTCGGTTCTTGAATAAGCATGTGGGCCTTCTTTAGCACCTCAGTTGCTAAATCACACTCCCGGTCTTAAGTAAGCCCTGGGTGCTCATTCAGCGTTTCGGGCGCTGTTTAAGGAACCCGCGCGCTCGCCGCAGAGGGGTCTTATTTTCAGCACCTGGTGCCGGATCGTTAAAACGGAGGCGAATCTACACTGTCCCTGGGCGCGTTGCTATACTGACACTTCTCGTTGTCGTAACCACCCCTCTCGCGAACCGGCCCGAGCCCCCCCCCTGGCCTTCTCCCCCCAGGAACCACAAACGCCGACCTGCGCACGCGGCCCATCGTCCCCCAACGCCTCGTTCCTTCGAGGGCCTCGACACCCGGGCGGGCGCCTGATGCTTGTCAAGCGGGCTCCGAGGGTGGCACTTTCAAAACGGGGTAAGATCGTGAATCTGCAAGTTTTCCGAAGACGGCCTTGGAAGGGTCGACGGAAATTCAAGTAGACCCCACGGCGGCCCCGAAGACGTCCCAATTCGGCCACGGGGGGCCTTCGAAGGAGCCTTTGATGAGCCCAGGGCGAACGCAGCGGCGTGTACGCATTGTTCCCAACAAGCTTGTGGTGCTGGATCCCCGTTTTGAAGAGACGGTTCCCCAAGTTTCTCCTCTCTTCGTCCTCTCTTCCCTCCTCCTCCTGCTCTTCCTTCTTCTCCTCCTCCTCCTCCTCCTCCTCCTCCTCCTCCTTGTCCTCTTTCCCCCCTCCTCCCTCCGCGCCTTCCTTTATTCGGCCCTCCCCATGTCACCCACTTCGGTGCGCCCTTCCGTTCGTGGCCACTTCGGGCGTCCCACCGAAGTCCCCAGCGGCACAGTCCACATGCGCCCCCACCCCCCCGCCCACAGCATGCCGATCTCGGCACTGGCACAGCCCGCGTGCGCCTCCCCGCCCACCGTATGCCCATTTTCGGTACACCCCTCACAGGCTTGGTGGCCCCACAGGAAGCCCATCGTACGCCCGCAGTGCCACGGTCCACGTGCGCCTCCCCGCCCGCCGCATGCCCATGTCGGCACGCCCCTCACGCGCTCCGTGGCCTCATCGGGAGACCCACTGCATGCCCATTTCGGCAGCCCTCTCACGCGTTTCGACGCACCACAGGGAGCCCCACCGAAGGCCCCAGCGGCACAACCCACGTGCGCCTCCCCGCCCACCGCACGCCCATTTCGGCGCCCACCGCACGCCCATTTCGGCACAACGCTCAGTGGCCACATCGAGCACCCCACCGAAGGCCCCAACGGCACAGCCCACGTGCGCCTCCCTTCCACCGCATGCCCATCTCGGCACGCCCTTCACACGTTTCGTGGCCCCATCGGGAGCCCCACCGAATGTTCCAGTGCTAAAGTCCACATGCGCCTCCCCACCCACCGCATGCTTATTTTCGGCACGCCGTTCACACGTTTCGTGGCCCCTCAGGGAGTCCCACCCGAGGCCCCAGTGCCAGTCCACGTGCCCCTCCCCTTCGCGCGCTTCGTGGCCCCATCGGGAGTCCCACCGATGGCCCCAGTGCCACAGTCCACGCGCGCCTCCCCGACCACCACATGCCCATCGGGGAGCCCCACCGAGGGCCCCAATGGCACAGTCCACGCGCTCCCCACCCCCCCTGTCCTCCGCCGCTACCCCCACGCCCATTTCGGCACATCCCTCGCGCGTTTCGTCGCCCATAGGGAGCCACACAGAAGCCCCCAGCGCCAGAGTCCACATGCGCCTCCCCGACCACCGCGCGCGAATGTCGGCACACCCCTCACACGTTTCCTAGCCACATTCCCGGAGAGCTCTCTGAGAGCTAGAGGGTTTTAGATTAGAAGCCGGACGGTGGTGGTGCCCGCCAGCAGCCCATCTCCGCCGCTCCACGATCCGCGCAGCGACTCGCCCGTGCCGGCAGCGGGTCCGGGAGCGCTTCCGCCAAGCGTCCACGTGTGCCTGCACGCTTGCAGGCACGCATGGAGGCCGGCAGCGCTTTCGAAGCGCTTCAGGGGAGCCCCCCAGAGCTCTCCAGGAAAGATTTCCCGCTCCCGAGGGTCTCTTCGCTCTCCGGGTTTTGGACGCTACCAAGTAGAGACCCCCACCGAAGGCCCCAGCGGCAGAGTCCACATGCGCCTCCCCGCCCACCGCATGCTTATTTCGGCACACCCCTCGCACGTCTCGTCGCCCCAAAGGGAGCATCACGGAAGGCCCCAGTGGTACAGTCCACATGCGTTTGCCAACCCACCGCATGCCGACTTCAGATTCTTCACGCCTCTATTTCGTGGCCCCATAAGAAGCCCCACCGGAGGCCCTCGTGGCACGGTCCACATGCGCCTCCCCGCCAACCGCATACTTATTCTGGGGATACACCCCGCACGTCTCGTGGCCCCACAGGCAGCCCCACCGAAGGCCCCAGTGGTACAATCCATTCACATGCGTTTCCCTGCCCACCAGATGCCAATTTCGGCACACCCTTCACGCGTTTCGTATCCGCCATGGGGAACCCCACCGAAGGCCCCAATGGCTGCGTTCGCATGCGCCTCCCCGCTATCGGCCAGCCTCTTTGCTCTGCGCAACGGACGACCCGTGCGCGTCGCCTGCGTCGCCTGGGCACCCCCCCGGGGCAACCGGCACGCATCGCAAGGGCATCGCGTTGCGCTCTGCCCAGAGCCGTAGTCACCAGGGCCCGCTTTCACAGAGGGGAAAACATCTCAGATTCCAACATGCCGCACCGCTCCCCCTCTAGCCACCCACCACTTCCCTACGCGCCTGCCCGCGCTGCCCCGCACCGCGTTCCTCATGCGGCGCGTTGCCCATGAGAGCTACACTGGGTTTGCGCGCCCCTTTCCTTCGTCACATCCCCTCGCGGCACTCGCAGTTGAAGATGTCTGGGTCCATCGCCAGGCAAGTGTGTTGTTTTCGGGCGTAGCCCGAATTTGTTTTTCGCGAGGTAAGCCCCAATTGAACTCGACTGAACTGGACTGGACAGGACCGGACTCAACTGAACTGATTGGTCGCACTCGTTGCGCGACGGTTTTATTCTCGGCCGCAGAGGGCGCAACCTATGGCGCAACCAATTGGAGACGCTTTTATTCTCGGCCGCAAAGGGCGCGACCTACGGCGCAACCGTTAGGTGACGGCTTCTATTCTCGGCCGCAGAGCGCGCAACCTATGGTGCAACCGATAGGAGACGGCTTTTATTCTCGGTCGCAGACGGCGCAACCTTTGGCACAACCGTTAGGAAACAGTTTTATTCTCGGCCGCAAAGGGCGCAACCTATGGCGCAACCGATAGGAGACGGCTTTCCTTCTCGGCCACAGACGGCGCGACCTATGGCGCAACCGTTGGGAGACTGGTTTCTTGTCGGCCGCAGACGGCACAACCTATGGCGCAACCGATAGGAGACAGCGTTATTTTCGGCCGCAGTTCCGTAGCCATTTTGGCTCAAGGCGACGCCTTCCCCTGGGAAGGAAACGGATACCGCTGCTCCGCGGCTAGCCCCGCGTTTCTTCGCTAGACGCAAGACTGGCCTACTCGCTCTCAGTGTCCTCGCTCTCCCAGTGTTGTTGTCTCGGCCATGGCAACGTACTGGAGGTGCGGATGTGGCGAATATAATACCAAGGGGCGCAAGCAATGTGGTGGATGTGGAGAGCCGCGAGCTGTTCGTCAGCCCTGGCGCGTCGGTGGGCCGAAAGGAGCCGACAGCTGGGCCAAGGAGCCGCGGCAACGAGGTTGGAAAAACTGGCCCAAGCCTGGAGGAGGTCAGCCGCAGCAGCAAGGCTCTGCCGGCGCGCCCCTCGGTCCAGAGGAGATCTTGATGTGGTCGGAGCTCCCCGCAGACACCTACGAGAAGACCAAGGGAACGCTCCCCCACCTCTCTCGCCAGAAGGTCGACAACGCTCGGCGCGCTGCTGCTGCTGGCGTTCTCGGCGCAGCTGGGCGCGAAGCACCTCAGGCTGTGGATAAGGCTGCCGGGGCGCTGCAGACGGCGAAAGACAAGCTGGCCACCAACAAGGAGAAGGCGCTCAAGTTTCTGGCAACCATCGCCGAGCAGGAGGCTGACATGGCTAAGCTGGAGGAAGACCTGGAGAACGCGAAGCAGGAGGCCATTAAACTCTACGGCGCCAAGCAGCAGGACCAAGGCACTGACGGCAAAAAGCTGCGCGACGTCATCTGCGCGCT